CCCCATAGCCTCTCCTCCATTTCTAAGGAGAGAGAGAGAGAGAGAGAGAGAGAGAGAGAGAGAGAGTGTATGTGTGTGTGTGTGTGTGTGTGTGTGTGTGTGTGTGTGTGTATGTGTAGTGCTTGGGACTGAACCCACCTGCGAGGTAAGTGCTCTACAACTGTGCCATATTGCCAGCCCCCCCGCTTAAAGGTTTATATGTAGTGGTGATTCCCTGAAGAATCTATACCTCACCACCAATAAAGACGATGCAGAATTTCTACTTCTACTTGCTAACGCCCCTAGGGTCCCCCTGGCTCTCTGCTGTCTAGCCCTGCTTCCTTTCACTGTTTACAGGGGACCTTTTCCTCTCCTTCAGGCCATGTCCTGCAAGCCCATGTTTGGATTCATTTTTTCCCTCATGTGTAACCCAAGGAATCGTAAATCATGTCAAAACTTCTTGGCCTGCCCCCACTAAAGGGGCTCTGACTCCAAATACCAAGATGAGAGCAGTGCGGTCCAGGCGCCTTGGCTGCCCTTCTCTGGATTCCTGTCTCAGGAACTGTCATCTCCTCGGTCCAGGAGGCAGAGGAGCCCTTATTTCTGCAGAATTGGTGGTTGGTTCTGAGCTTCCTGGCCTCAATAGTTACTTCACTGTTCATGGTGTTTGGGGTCTCCAGGGGGATAGGAAGGACCACATGCACTTCTAAAATAGTTTCCCCAGAGGTGGAGAGAGCGCTCAATGGACCAAGCACATGCTTTGCATGCAGGAGGCCTGGGTTCCATCCCTGACCTGGCACATGGCACCCAGAGTACCTGAGCACTGAACATGGGAGTAGCATCCAAGTGTTGCTGGATGTGGTCCAACTCAAAGAGAGAGAGAGAGAGAGAGAGACACAGACAGACAGACAGACAGACAGACAGACAGACAGACATAGTCAAGAGCTTCCTATCCTTGGGGGAAAAAGATCCCAACTCCAAACAGACTGATGCATTTTAGGGGACACAATTCCACGCCTAACAGGAGGCCTGCAGGACCAGGTTTTCTGTAGAGCTAAATGCTGGGCTCTCTGGAGAAGGATTCACACTGCACCAGATCCTGGCCCTTTCCACTCTAGAAACTTCCAGACTGTCAGTTATATTTGCTGAGCAGTTGGGAAACACCCAGCAGGGCAATCTCAACAGTGAGAAACAGCCCAACAGCTATAGCCACTGAGGCCATGAGGGTTGGAGGGAGGTGACCCTGGAAAAAACTGGATGGGTGTCATAAACCATCGTGATAGGTGCCTGCTCACTCACTACCTGGGTGCAAGTCTCAGGCATGGGAGCAGCCATCTGGGGGTCCTGGGGTTTACTGGGATGCAAATGAGATCGAGACTGAAGATCCTCTGCATGCTCCAGTTCTCACTCCCCACCCTGGGACCAAGTGCTCACCCCAAGAAGGAACTAGAAAGTACCAGAAACCTGGTAAATCTATTTTCTTAATGCTACCAGCAGCTCTAGTTCAAATTCAAGTTAGTGATCCTCCTCAGCATAAATTAAGGAAGCTGGCTCAACAGTGCATGAGGAAAGCATTACGTTATACATATTTTTAATTGTACAGATAAAACAAGCCTGTGGATAGTATCATTCGCAAAGGTCAGATCTGCAATTTGAGAGGTAATTGCTCCTCCTGCCCCCATTTCTATTTTAAAATAAAACTTCCTTTGTGTGAAAGACCTTCCAATAAATTTAGTGACCAGAGGCATTTTATGGTTCCAACTCTGGGAAATCTCATTTATATTTTTATGTGTTTTAAAAATAATGTTAACGCAGGGCTGCTGGATAGAACACAGGGTGGTGTTTTATTGCAGGGACCACACTTCTCACTAGAAAAAAATGTATATTTTTAATTTGAAAGTAGTTGCTAATTTAAAATTAACTGGTCAGCCTATATTTTTCTTCATAAGGCCAGCAGCTCAATTTTAAGGCTATCATATCATGTGGAAGATCCAGGGGGCTTCTCAATAATGGGGCAAGGCAGCTGATTTATCTCCATTTCTCTACTAGCGCTGTCAGCAAGGAAGACTTATACTTCTGGCAGGAGATTCTCAGATTGTGTAAGATTTATTCAAAGGTCTGAGTCATTTTCATTTTTTACACTTTATTCTGACTGTTTTACTGGTTTAAACTTCCCCTTTCAGGTCTTTGAGAAAACTGGTAAAACTATTAAAATTAGTTTGCAGTTGGAGAAATAGAAACACTAACCTCTGCCTTGCAAAGTTCTCAAGAATAGCCACATCCTCAATCATTTCTTCTCTGCCAGCACAAGACACCATCCTTCCTTGAAAAATAATAGGTTCCTGCCATTGGTAAAGGGTCAAGCACCCGTGTACCAAACAGGCCCACTCCCCACTGTTCCCCTTCCCTTCCACATAGAGCCTTTTTTTTCTTCATATTTGTTTGGTTTCATTTGATTTTACTGGAGGGGCCATGCCCCGTGTCACAGGGGGTATTCCTCTCAGTTTGTGCTCAGTCATTCCTAACGGTGCTCAGGGGACCATAAGGTGCCAAGGATCTCCAGGTACAAAGGGACAAAGTGGGTACTCAGTCCAGCAAGTTTTCTCCTGGGCCCCACATTGATTTTGTTTTTTTGGTGTTTGGTTTTGTTGCTTTATTTTGGAAGCCTTCCAAGATGAGCCCAGGTAGACCGTGAGGAGGGGTAACTTGGCCAGCTGAACTGGCCATTCAATGAGAGGGATCATGAGTGAGAGGCTGCTTGGCCCTGGAGTGTCTGGACTACCCTGGTCACCTCAACTGTGTTCAGAGCCTCCAGGATCACACCCCGCAATGCTCAGGGGTCCATGTGGAGCATCAGACCTGAGCCTGCCCGATTCTGGGCCCTCTCCATGACTTTTAAAAAATAATTGAAATCCCTGGTCCCTTTGTGTTCTGAAGAATAAATCAATCGCCAGAGCCCCAAGAGCAGGCAAACAAAAAGCTTCTGCCTCAGAGACTCAGAGAGAGACATTATGAACATTCTTTGCTAATCATTTGCTTGTACTCTTATACTGGCATATCACTGTATCACTGTCACTGTCATCCCGTTGTCTATTTACTTGAGCGGGTGCCAGTAACTTCTCTATTCCTTCCAGCCCTGAAATTTTAGCAGCCTCTTCTTACTCGTCTTTTCTCAACAATTGGAAGCTCTTTCAGGGTCAGGGGAATGAGACTTGATGTCGTTACTGGTTTTGGCATATCGAATACGCCATGGGGAGCTTGCGAGGTTCTGCCCGTGTGGGCATGATACTCTCGGTAGCTCGCTGGGCTCTCGGAGAGGCATATATTTATATATTTCTCTCTATGATTTGTTGCCTACTGTTGGAACCCCATCAAATATTGTGTGGCAGCAATGAAAAATGGGTAGAAAGTGTCCTATAATGTATCTGGAAAGCAGCCTGGAGCGTGGCTGCGGTTGGGTAGTGAAGGTCGGCTGCCAGGGCTGGGTCCCTTGGGGATGGGGAGGATTCTCACCCACCCAACTCTGGGGCACCCCGAGTGAAAACAGCCTGACATAGAGTCTCCATATACCAGAATATATACTTGTTTTTATCAAAAACATCAGTGTTCATTTATTGAAGCAGACAAGACAACTTTGCCCTAAAACAACACAAAGGAATTAAGAAGTATTGACAGACACATTCGACTCTGGAAAGGCAGTTCCTGGTGCCTGCACAGATAACTCATACCTTTTTGTTTTTTTTTCAAACAGATTTTTAGATTAAAGAAGCAAGATTTCAGCGTAACGCTGCAAAGAAGTTCACAAGAAACTCCAGCTGTTGTGAATGTAAACGACATTTCAATTTGAATTACAACATCTATTCACTATTATTTTTTCTTCTCTATGAACACACTGAAAACTATGTTTATATGGAAGTAACATACACATATTTTCGGTTTATATTTGTACATAAAATGCATACAATTGTGCTGCAAACAGAGACGGTATTCAAAGGCATAGGTAGCTTCCACATTCCAAAAGCCCTACGTTAATTGTGTCAAAAAGTATGCCACCTTTATTCTTTTGCCTGACACTGCAACTCGACACAAATCTCTACCTTGGTCGGTACACAGGGCTTACTAGTCTCCTTTGTACCCAGAGGTCTTTGTGGAAAAGAGGAAGTGTCCCATGAGTATGAGAATTAAGCTGAGGCAAAGCCATGAAGTTGCACACCACCACATCAAGCTGGAGTTGTTTAAGTAATACATACGAAAGCAGCAATTCTAGATTACTATGGACCACCTGGCACTTCCCATTCCTGATAGGAAACAGAACTGGCCAGCCTGTACTTCCAGGTGTGAAATCTGGCAACTCCTTGGAGATGAACACAACCTTTGCCATTTCCACCTAACTCTTTGCCTCGCATGCTCTTTTCTTTTTAGAAGTGTAAGGTCCAAATCCCATCTTTGACACCCAACATTCCTTAGGTGGTTCCAAAGATGTCACAAATCCCGTGTCTGAGCATCCCTGACCACTTCCCCCAGAAAGTCAGGCTGCCCCCTTCCTACAGAAACAGCCAGAAGAGGGGTTTGTTCCATATCCCTGTGGTCCTGATGCTATGGAGCAGACAAGAACACAGACAAGAGAGAACAGTGGACTCTCCAGGGGCAGGACGAACTGCCACAATTCCGCAAGGGCAGAAACAGCAGAGCATGGAGGGGAAAGGAAGCCCACCGCCCTTGGAATTCTAGAAGCTTCTAACGTGGAGCAAGGCCTCATCCCCGTTTGGACACGGGGCAGTTACACTGGCAGCATTAGCCCCACTGGACTCCCGGCACTGGCCTGCAGTGGTGCTTCTGGTGACAAAGGCTGCAGGAAAGATGCTGCCCGGAGTCACGAACCCCAGCCTAGTGGGGTCCCAGTAGAGTTCCCCCGAACCCGGGGCCTTATCGTCTGCATCCTGCTCCCTTTCCTCCTCTCTTGCCCACCCGCATCCGTCCTGTCCTCCCCGACTCCAGGCCCCACCCCGCGACCCCGCTGCCGCCTCACGGGGCGCCCATGTGGCTGTAGGAGTACCTGGACAGCGAGGCGCCCGTGGTCCTGCCGTCCTCCTCGTCGGCCCCCTCGCCGCGCGCCCCCGGGGGGCCGGGCTTGGGGCAGCAGGGGAAGGTGGCCAGGAAGCCCAGGCGGAAGCGCTTGTTCATGAAGCAGTAGATGATGGGGTTGACGCACGAGGAGGTGTAGGAGAGCAGCAGGATGAAGGAGATGGGCGTGCCCGAGAGCAGGCGCTCTGCCGAGGCCGTGTCGAAGGCGCGCCAGGCGTTGGCGCTGAAGATGGGCATCCAGCAGAGGAAGAAGAGCAGCACGATGACCATGAGCATGCGGATCACGCGCTTCTTGGCCAGCAGGTTGGCCGCCGAGCTGCTGCTGCGGATGCGCGGGCTGCGGGCGCCGGGGCTGGCGGGCAGCGGCCGCAGCTCCACCTTGCGCGCGGGCCGCGACTTCTGCAGGTAACAGCCGTCGCTGTCCTGGTACCGGCTGCCGCTCTCCGGGCTGGCCTTTCGCTCTGGGTGGGCAAGCGACACGGCTTACTGCTGGGGAGGGATGGGAGATACCCACCCCCGCCCCCCCAAATAATCCCAAGGTTGGGATTGTACCCTGAGCAAAACAGTTTGGGTCTTTTAGAATGTGATCCGGGCTATTAAAGAATGCGCCCAGGCAAGGATGGAATAAAAACAGTGATATACAATAGAAATAAAATCACTGTCACTGTCCTCCAATTTGCTCGAGCGGACCCAGTAACGTCTTCATTGTGACACTTGTTACTATGTTTGGCATATCCAATACATCACGGGCTTTGCCATGCAGGTGGGACACTCTCGGTAACTTGCTGGGCTCTCCGAGAGGGGCCGAGAAATTGAACCCGGGTCGGTAGGGTCGGCCGCGTGCAAGGCAAACACCCTACCACTGTGCTATCGCTCCTGTCACCCCAGAAATAAAATAGAGGTAATTACATATGATGTTTGAATATAATAATAATAATAATAGTGATTCTAGCATACTTATGGTGACAGCTAGGCATAGAAATGACAAGGATCAGTATCATCAGAGAATGGATATTCACACACACACACACACACACACATCTTTGTTCAGATACTTTGGAAAGGGGTTCTGTTGATTTGGGAAGTTTCAGGACACCTTTGACTGCCAGGAATCTTGATAACAAGCAATTTTTTTTTGGTTTGTTTTTGGGCCACATCAGGCATTGCTGAAGACTTAACTCCTGGCTCTGAGTTCAGGGATCAATCTTGGTGGTGGCACCATATGGGGTACTGGGGATCAAACCCAAGTTCACTGCAAGCAAAGCAAGTGCCCTACCTACTGTACTATCTCTTCAGCCCTGCGATTTTCTTTTTCTCCCAATGAAGATGTTGTAGAGAGTAACTTATGGAAAGGGCAAGGAACTGGGTGAAGGGGTGGAATGAGGATGAGAGTGGTGACCCCAGCACATGTGGGGACAGATTTTATTGGTTAGTGTCTGGGGTCAGTGGCCAAGAAGTGGGAATAAACGCAGGAGGAGATGTGTTATAGTTTGTTGCAAGGGCGTCCATTTGAAGGAAGCACTAGAAGGACTGTAGGACACATGATTCTTAGCTTATAACTGGATTTTCTGTGTGAGTTAATTTTATTTACCCTTTAAGATCTATAATTTCTTCATCTTACCAATGAGAAAATAGAAGCGCTAGGTGTCTTGACCATTTATAATTCAGAGGTTTCCAAGAATACGTTTCAGACTCTCCAATCTCTTCTGTTCTCTCCAGCTATGTTTGTTAAAGGTACAAAAAACAAGCTTTGGCCATTGTTTGCATACACATACAGCTAAAAGATAGTTACCTCTGGCAGACTTCTTCTGGTTAGCATCAAACTTTATGCCTTGGTAAAGTTCCAGAGAGATTAGTCCATATGCCACCATCATCACAATTCCAGGAATAAGAAAGAGAATGAGTAACAGGAATGTGTGCCTAATAAGATAAAAATAAATTCTATAACCAGTCATTCATTCTACCAGTATTTCAAACACATGCCGTGGAATGAGTAGGGCTCATCTACGTTTTAACCAGTTTGAGCAAACGTGTGCTGTATTTATTATCCCCCAAATTATGTATTTAATATCCTGAAAATTCCATGTCATTCATTAGAAGCTGTTACTTTCTCCCTTGTTTTCAGATAAAGTCTCTTACGGAAGATTAATTAAATTGGAAAGTTTTGGTGTGAATCTGTGCCCAGATGCAACTAGTCTCATCCATACAAAATGAACGAGAGCTTAAAAAAATCGACTAAAAAAGAAACATCGACAAAATTAATTCTATGTAAGCAAGGCTACCAATAATAATAGATTACCTTTATGAAGGACTTATTAAATGTGCTATGCACTTCAGTAATTTTATATGAAATGGTACATAGAATAAAAATAAAATACATGTGATTGTATATGATATTTAGCATCTATACTAAGCTTTATTAATACTTAACATATTTATGTAGTTATGTCCATTTAGTTCCCACAATAAAATACCTATTTTAGAGATGAGAAAACTGAGACAGTGAGGTTAAATGATTGATTCAAAGTCACTCAGTGAGTAATGAGGGGATTTGTACCCAAACAATATGATTTTAGAACCCAGGCTCTTAACTGTTACCATATACTACTGTTGACTTTATCACTGAATGATCAACACCTAGGTGGGCATGCTGGAGAACCTGCTGGATTCGGCACAGCATGACACTCTGGTTGTTTCTGACTCCGGAGCATAGGGCTTGCTCATTCTGCTGGCTGGAAGCACAGAGCCATGCTTGTCTTGCAATGCATTCAATTCCTGAGGAAGAGCAGCCTCCTCCTGCATGGGTCTGGCCTGTACCTCACTGTCACAATCTGACCTGTGGAAGGTTGCATGATTGGGCCATGAAATTGTCAGAAGCTCAGGGTGGCTGGGCTCGTTCTCATTGCAATTGGACATATTTTGGTAAGATTTCTTTATAAGCCTTGCAAATGTTCTTCTTATTTTTCTTATTTATAACGTAATTCGTGTGTGTGACTTAATTACAATGAAAAGCAGAAGATAAAAAGAAGCAGAGATTATCTTTGGAACCATCTTTCAATGTTTAGTTCTCTGCTTCTTAAACATGCTTGGAATTAATGAGTTGAAGCTGTGCATTTGTGTCTAGACAGTCAATGGTGTTCTCATATACATATGCTCATTCAAATCCGAATGAGGGAGATAAAAGATATCTGTATTATTAACTTGCCTACATAAAGAATTTGAACATCAGAGAAGCAACTTGAACTTGTCCAATGTCACCAAGCTATTTAGCAAAGAAATGCTTGCTAGATCCTTGCCTTTTGATTGCTAGTGAAGTATTCTGTGCAAAGACTGTAGTATTTCCTCTATGGAAAACCACAAGGGATTTGAAGCTCTAATTTCAATTCCTTAGACTATTGTTACCCTCCAAAACTTCTAAATGAACCCCCTAGATCATTTATTGCATGCTGCATGGTGACCAACACAGAAGCCCTCACTTCCACACTTGGCTTATTTGTTAACTAATTTATTTATATTGGTTTCAGGCCCACATGCTGTGGTACTCAGAAGTTATTCCCAGATCAGTGCTCAGGGGTTACCTTGCAGTGCTCAGAGGACCGTGCAGTGTGGGGAATCAAACCTGTGCCACTCTGCACCTGCTTCATTCAAAGTATGTGCCTCAGCCTTTTGAGCCATAACCAGTTCTCTTCTATCCTTGCCATCTTGAGAGATTAACTCCTCTCTGTCTCCATTTCCTCATCGGTAATATGGGGCCAATAGTAAACTAATGATAAAACATAGATTCTAGGGTTTTTGAGGATTGGCTGAATTAATATGTGCAGTAAAGTTTAATAACACAGAGCACTCTAAACTTTTACTGTCTTCATTTTTCTAGGAGAAAATGAGAAAGTTCATTTCCAAAGGTCTTCAGCAAACAGATTCCTGGAGACTCTGGACAATGTCTCCCAGTTTTTGGAAAAAAATGAAAATAGGTGCTGGAGAGGTAGTACAGAGTTAAGATGCTTGCTGTGTGTGTGTATGGTCAACCCTGGTTCCATCTGTGGCACCACACAGGGTTCCCTGAGCACCACCTGGAGGGAACCCTGGGCTCAGACCGAGGAGTAAGCCCTGAACACTGCTGCATATGACCCAAGCTCCAGCCAACACCCTCTGCCCCTCAATAAAGTGAAATATTATGACAAATTGTCCTTGGTGACCACCATTACCTTACCAGGATTGCTGCATGACACCACTGGGGAGCAGAAAACGGCACATGTTGGCGGTTTGGTTGTTGTTCTTGGTGAAAGGGACCAAGTTGCTGTAAATGGGGTACGGAGTCATGATGGTGAATGAGAGAAACCAGGTAGCAGCGATCACCTTCAAGGCGTGGGATTTTGTCTGCCAGACCCGGGACTGCAGGGGCTTGCAAATGGCACCGTATCTCTCCAGAGATATGGCTACGAGATTGAAGGTGGATACACTCACAGAGGTGCCTGCAGCAGGAACAGAGACTTGGGTTAGGGCGGCCCTGAAATCCAAAGTTATTTGCACATTAGCTTAAGCATTTGGAACCTGCACAGCTTTTGTGGCAAGGGAAAATGCTCAGAGGGTGAAGAAATATCACGGGTGGATATTTGAAAAATACTTTCTACCCGGCTTTGCTTCCCACAGGAGTTAAGGCAGTTAAAGAACTGCATTTGCAAATACATCTGAATGCTTATTTTTAGATAAGCTTATTGAACTCTGATTTTAATCAGACTCCTTCCCCGGTGGCTCATTAATTAATAACCCAGGGGATGAAAAATGTACCAGTCCCACAGAAAAGCTTTTTGAGTAGCCCAGAGAAAGGCTTTCATTCTGGATCATCAAGTCCTGAAATGTGGAGTAAAAACGTGTCTGAGACAGGAGTTGCCGTGTTCCCCAGACTTAGCCTAAAGAGTTGATGGCATTTAGATGAAGGGGGCAGCACGAATTCCCTAGAGCTAAGACTGTCTAATGGCACCATTGCATCATGAACCCCCAACTGGGCAGGCGAACTCTTCTTTCCTACATCTCAGGAGTTTTAGTAATGCTCACTGTTAGCCATAGTATTGGGGAAAAAAAAACCCACAAAATTGAAGAAAGTATCCAAATCGCTGCAATGAGAAAAATCCAACAAAAATAAGTGCAGGTACTGTAAATACTTTCAAAATGATATAGCCCCTTTTTGCATTGTTAAAAGCATTTTTATTGGGGCTGGAGCAATAGCACAGCGGGTAGGGCATTTGCCTTGCATGCTGCTAACCCAGGTTCTATTCTCAGCATCCCATATGGTCCCCTGAGCACCACCAGGAGTAATTCCTGAGTGCATGAGCCAGGAGTAACCCCTGTGTATTGCTGGGTGTGACCCAAAAAGCAGAAAAAAATGTTGGGGCTGGAGTGATAGCACAGCATATAGGGGGTTTGCCTTGCATGCAGCCAACTCAGGTTCTATCCCTGGCATCCCATATGGTTCCCCAAGCACCACCAGGATTAATTCCTGAGCACAGAGCCAGGAGTGACCCCTGAGTATCACTTGGTGTGACCCCAAAAGCAAAGTAACAAAACAAAATAATGTTTTTATTGATGTAAAATGCAACTAAATATTTTATTTTAGTTAGAAAATGTAGTTTGGTTTGGGAGAGGGTGTTCGTAACTGGAAACACTTGAATCTATCTCCTTTGTATCTTCAGAGAGCACTTCTGATGATGCTGAGGAGCCATAGGGGACCAGGCATGCAAAATCTGGGGCCCCTAAATGCAAAACCTGCTTTCCCAGCATTTGAGCCGTCTCCCCGTCTCCCACCTCCCAATCAATCATTTCACAGTAAACACATTGCACGCATTTGTGATATTATATAACCACAGAGGCACCTGTTTTTCAATTATTTTTCATTTTTCTTTTAGGTTTGGGGTCCCACCTGATGGTTTTCAGGGCTTTCTTCTGGAATCACTCCTGCCAGGGCTCAGGGAGGACCATATGGGGTGCCGGTGATCCAACCCCTGTTTGGCTACGTTCAGGGAAAGAGCCCTACCCTCTATCCTATTTCTCCAGCCCTTGCTTTCAAATACTTTATATAATCTGGTTAGATTCTTAAGAAATATTGTATGTCGATTTATACATGTATGTATACATATACACGTATATGTGCATACACATCTGGCGGACCTTGACAACTTAAAGTTCTATGAGACTGTAGCCACGATCATGACTTCCTTACTGCACAGTGATCCTGTGGATTTGTATGTCCTCTTTCTTATTTTCAGAGGCTTTGGGCTTGGGTATTTGTCTGAAACATGCAGATCTGTCACTCATCACCATTGTTTGTCAGAGCTGGGTCCCGCTTCCTCAACTGAGAGAAATCGCGGCTTGGAAAGCTTTCTGGTCACTGGTCACTGCCTAGCCTGACTCTGCTTTTGCATCGTGTAGGTCAGAACCACCAGTCCAAAACCCTCCCCTCCCATTTCCTGCCTCTCCTTCTGCCTTGTTCTCAGGCCGGTGTGGGGCAGGGAGGTGGGCACGAGAAGACAGGCAAGACACGCGTGTTTGCGCAGCTTGAACAGCCAGAGCTGTCGGTAAACAGAGACCTCGGGACTGGTGAGGATGAGGGCTGTGGCTCTGTGGCTCGCCTCCTTGGGCCCCTAGTTAAACTCTCTGTGCTTCTTCAGGGATGAACGTGTTTTCACTGCTGAAGGTAGCTGGGAGATGAAATGAGATCCTGGAAGTAAAAGTACTTGGTAGAGCATCTGCTACGTAAAAGTCACCCTAAACTGTTACCTCTTGTGGTCCTGATTCCTTCCATCAACCAGTGGATTGACAAAGGTAAAAAGCAGCATAGCTCAGACCGTCAGGGTCAGCTTTGTGACCCTTTTAGTACTCAGGAGAAAATGAGCTGGTCTAGGGGCGGAGTCCTCTTTTTGTCGGCTCTGGGAGGCCCTACATCCTTAGGAGGGGAACAGGCTGGGAACTAAATTCGGAGAAGGGGAACTAGCGCTGTGAAGAGATTGATTTTCAAATGGCCTTCGTGAAACTGACCTGTGAAAGATGCAAGCGGGAACTGACCTCGAGCAGGAGGGACCCACCAGAAAGCTGCCACCTTGTCCTTGAACACAGCCTCCCCCTACCCCCCCCCCTGCCCCTGCAAAGCCAGATATTTGCTCGCCTGGCTCTGCTTTTTCAGCACCCAACAGGGCTGCTCTGCTGAGGTGGTGAGGGGCAGGGGGAGGTCTGGGATGGAGTCCGGGGTGAGCTCCAGAAACAGCTTCCCCCGGCAACTCACCCATGAAGTAGGTGGTGGTCTTGCACACAGCGCTCCCGAAGATGAAATCCTTGAGCAGGTTGGGGATGAGGTTAAAGGGCATACAGAAGAGGCAGAGCATGAGGTCACTGACCGCCAGGGACAGCAAGAAGATGTTGGTGACCGTTCTCATTCTCTTGTTCCGAATCAGTACCGCAATGACCAGCGTGTTTCCCAGGACGCTGAGCAGGAAGATCAAGGAGTACAAGAGAATCTGCACCGCGGGCTGCCACTCTGGGAAGAGAAATGGGGACAAGAGACAGCGGAGGTGGTGAGGGCAGAACGCTAAAACCTGCTGGGGGCTTGGTTGCTTTGGGGTTTTGTTTCTTTGTGTGTTTTTTCTTTTTCTTTCTTTCTTTTTTTTTTTGCATGCATGTACATCACAGTGCCCGACTATTCCTGCACCGATGACATTTTGCAGGATGGTGATTCTGTGGCTTCTAGAGGATTGATTCGTGCAAGGAAAACTCCGGGAACCCCTTTTTCTCTCAAGAACAAAGCTCTCAAGGGAACAGTGATTTCTTTCTTTGCTAGCTGCTGGGCATTATTTGGCTTGAATCACTTCTTCACGCCGGATTTCCCCCCAGCAAAAGCAGCGGCGAGCCTGTGACAGCACCTTTTCTGTGAAGCTTGTTAAGTTCAAGCTCCGACACTTGTACACCTTCCTCTCTATCCAGTCAGCTCCTCCTCCTGCAAATCCCACACAGTAATCCCCCTCTCTCCCCTGCAGAACAATAGAGGAGTCTGGGGGGAGAGGGGCACTATGGTGGGGAGGGGGGCGAAGGGGGGCTCCATTCTGCTTTTTGAGCTCCGATCCAAACTTCTGAGCAAATGACTTTCTGCCAGCCCCTTTCCCCAGGACTCTTTGATACTGTCTCGCCTTGACAGATTCCCCACCCTTCCCCTAACTCGCTTTCGGAATACAAGAGTGGTCCAGGACACTTACCCTTGGAAGGCTGGGGCTGCTCCACGCAGAAAAGCGTCTCATTGTCAATGCCGAGTTCGCAGGGAGGAGAGAGGTCGCTTCCGTTGGCGAGGAGGCTGTCCACCACATCCATCCTTGCCTGCTGCTTCCCACGGGGCTGGCGAGCTGGGACGGGCTCACAGCTGGGGTGGGCTCATGGGTTCCATCCTCTAAGGGCCGATGCAACCTGGGTTGCAGGGGCCAGAAAGGGACGGACTCCAGGTGGGTGCTGGCGCGGCCATTCCTCTTGAGTTCACTGCGCTCCGTCCAGCTGGGCAGGCATGTGTGCGCCGGGCTGGGGAAAGGCAGCGCAAGCCCTGCCCGCTCCACCTTCCAGGCCCACCCCTCCCTGCGGGGCCAGTCTCAGGGCCCCAGCAGACAGCCTGGCTCTGAGTTAACCCTTCCCAGAGTCACTGCATTTATATGCTCATGTCCAAGCATGGACACACACACACACACACACACACACACACACTCACACTTACCCAGACCTGCTCCTCTCTCTGCAGAGGAACCTGTCACCCACCCGGACGTAGGCAGAAGAGAGCCCGCGGTGGCTGCTGAGACAGGAGCAATCAACACGGTAACAGATCCGATAATGCAGACATCAGGAGTAAGGACACGGAGGGACGCGGTCTCTACCTCCTTCTATAAAAGCAATTAGTGCCTTTTTAGCGTTGGAACCATGCCCGGCAGTGTGTGTGCATCTAACTGCTGGCTGGTTGTTAAGTTGTTACCAACCACAGAGTTATTTCTCTCAGTTTCTGCCCTTGTTAACTGCAAGGTGAGGGGGACCTCTTTGGAACAGAGGCTCCGAGCTCCTTCTCTCTCTCTCTCTCTCTCTCTCTCTCTCTTTCTCTCTCTTTCTCCCTCCCTCCCTCCTCTTCCTCCACCTCTCTCTCACACACACACCCCACATCCCCCACACTACCACATCACACACACACACACACACACGTAAGATTTTTCCATCCATTTATTTATTTATTTATTTATCCATTCAGTACCTGGACATTGATCGTCAACCCCAAACATACACATAAGAGCCGATCATTTCAGAGACAGTTAAATAAAAGAGAGGAAGTGAAACAGATCTATGAGTTGGAGGGGCCTGGACTAAGGGATGCCCATTTATACAGTCTGTTCAGGAATGGGGTCCCAGAGGAAGGGATCTGGGAGACAGAGAGGGTGAAGCCATGTGAGGATTTGGAGAAAGCTGCTTCAAGGCTGGAGAAACAGTACTCAGGACAGATGTCCAGCAAGTGCAAAGGCCCTGGGATATAAAGGAGCAAGCTTCTCTGTGCAAGACTGGGTGAGGGGCCAACCCTGGGAGGTTAAGGTTGGACAGGGGACTCAGACCTGGGATTTGGGTTCTCTGTGAAACTGTGGTATTGGAGAATTCTCTGTGTTCACTGGTTGTCAGTCTTCTGAATTCATACTCTAGGAAAAAGAAGAGGCAGGAGTGGCACTGTACTTCTGGCTGAGGCCTGGTCTCTTGGCCAGAGTCCTCTGGGAGGCCTCTGCATAGGGACATTCGCATGTCAGACAACGACACCCGTCAACTTAGCAGAAACCCTGATGGACACTAAATGCCAGGGAGGCCCCAGGTGGCAGGCTCCTCTCTTCTCTGAAACCTTACAAGGCTCAAGTGTGAGGCACTTGGAGGAACTGGCACAGAAGGGATGTAGGGAAGCTACCTGTTGCTCTTCAGGGGACAGGCTCTGCATCGAGAGATGAGTCTAAGCTCTACTGGCCTCACTGGTTGCTTGCTGTGACTTAGTGGGTGCCCTTCTCAGCTTCTCCAAGACTCATTCCATGTGCCAAATCGGCACCTGGAGAGCCCCTTTGGTGTCTGTTATGAAGAATCATCGTCTCAAGGCAGTGCCAGACACAAGAACATACATAGTGTTCAGTCAGGCTGGAGAGAGAGCACCGCAGGGAAGATGCTGGTCTCGCACCTGGGCTGGGCTGGATCACTGGCACCACATATGGTCCCCTGAGCACTGCCAGGAGTGAGCCCTGTGCACAGAGCTAGGAGTAAGTCCTGAGCGCTGCCGAGGGTGTCCCAAAAGGCAACAAACCGAAAGGTTGAAAAACAAAGTTCCGTGAATGACAGATAACAGTATCCCCAGCTGACGAGGATCATTGTTCTTATTTTCCTTGCAGGGAGTGGGAAACTGAGATGGAGCATGACCAGTCGTCATGCAGGTGGTCACTAGGGGCAGATACCCGACTGTGGCCCTGGCAAGCCACACCCACACCACGAGAGTTTTCTACATTATTTCAGTATCATGCAGAGCCACGGGGATCAAGCCCCCCGCCCCACCCCTGTGCTGCCCCTTTTCCTGTCACAAATCCCCTGAGTTCCATCACCCCAGTCGGTAGTCATCACCCGCTTGGAGGGGACCCAGTACCACGGGTCTGTTCTCTAAGTCGAGGAGGGAGAAATGTCCCACCTTTGAGTCCCTGGTACAGCTCATTCCACCCAGGGCTGTTCCTGATTGTTTCATAGCTGCTGCCCCGGCTCCAGCTGTCGGGACCATCCTAGAAGAGACCCCCAAAACATATGTGTTGAAGCTCAGCTTTGGGGGGCTGGGGGGTGGTGCTGCTGATTTGGGAACAATCACCTTCTTCCTCCCCCTCCCTCTCCTTTCTGGTTCTTCTCTCTGCCCGTCAGTGGAGGCAGAGAGCAAGAGTGGAGGTGGGGGGTCTCGGGAGTCTGAAAACCCACTTGGAGCTCTGAGTTTTACAAACAAGCATCTGAGAATGGGGATCCTTCCCAGAGACGCTAATCGTTCTGCCTTTGATCTAGAACACCCAGGCTTCAGAAGCCTCCTGGGTGACCTCTTAGCAGGCTCCTCCCACCCCCAAGCCGTGGATTCATTGTCTTGAGACACTCATTCTTCATAACAAACAAAAGTCTGTATGAGAGTGGATGCAGACCACGGGAACCTAGTCTGGGTAAGCATCAATGAGCGGCTGGGTGACCTCCACCAATGACAAAACTCTGAACCTCAGCTTGCCCCACAGTAAAATGGGCATGTCAGAACAACGAGCAGATATAGCAATGCAGGAATAGCATTTAAAACCTTGCCTGGACCCTAGCACTGGAAGGTGAGGATGATTTGTGAGTAAGATCAATTCCAGGGATGCTCTACTCATTCCCACTATCATGGCGAGAGGAAGGTGTTGTAGCATTAGGACAGTGTCACAGGCATCTCAGGATAGATTGGAAATATTTATGAATCAGGAAAGCAAAATTAGGGGAGCCTGTCACTCAAGGATTATTATACCCTTTAACACCTTCGTGTGTGTGTGTGTGTGTGTGTGTGTGTGTGTGTGTGTGTGTGTGTCACACCCGGCGATGCTCAGGGGTTACTCCTGGCTTTGCACTCAGGAATTACTCCTGGCAATGCTTGGGGGACCGTATGGGATGCTGGGAATCGAACCTGGGTCGACCACATGCAAGGAAGACGCCCTACCCCCTGTGCTATTGCTCCAGCCCTCCTTTAACACCTTCTTACTCAGACTCTTTTTCCTGGGAATCTGTGGGTTTTTTTCACTTTGAGTTTCCTAGTCAATATCACCTCAAAGTTCAACTATGGATGACAGAATTCTAAGGAGAGCTATGCCAGGCTTCGAAAGATGAGTGGTTGCATTTTCGAGTATCCTTGCTAACCCCGGTTCATCCCTCTGCACACATTTCTGAATGTTTTCAAGCCACAGTGCCTGGTGCAAGGGGTGTGATGCAGGAGCAGAGCGGATGTGAGTGGTGGCTGTGTGGAACCTCAGTGCACTGCAGGGGGAGCTGATAAATACAGTGAGTGAGTGGGAAGTGCCTCTCTGGTGCACGTCGATAAAAGTGCTCTAAATTGAGGCAACGTGCGGATGGCTCAGTGGTAGAGCAACTGCCCTGCTGGCATGATGGCATGAGGTCATAAAATCAGCCCGCAGAATGGCCCCATGTGCTGCCTCTGTACCCTGGCCCCCCTTACCACACACACACACACACACACACACACACACACACACACACACACAGAGGTGCTCAGTCCCTGTGGAACACCTACACAGCTGTGCAAGCTTCAGTCTTGCAACAACAAGAAAGGGAAAGGGAAAGAGAAAATAAATTGTAGATTTCCTACCTCTATACAAATGGGTACAAATGTGACTAAATCGAGTTCTTAGGGCTCCAAGGGCCTCCTCTCTCAGAGAAGCACCATATGGACTAGACAGAGCCGAAACTTGGGTACCTTCCACAGTTCCCCAAAACCCTTTGATCCTGGGACCCTTCTTTGGCCAGCATCGCCCTTGAAAACTAGAACATGAATTATCTCAGTGGCTCCTGGGTAAGGAAGAGGGTATCTGTCCCCAAATCACCCTTCGGTCTAGAAAACAAGTCTGCAACACCCAAAGGGGCAAACCTACTCCCCCTCCTTGAACATCAACCTTATTACAGGTTTTCTTTCTCTTTTAAGGGGTGGTGGTGGGGGGAGGGCACACCTGGTGGTGTACTCACCGGTTCTTCCTCCCGGTTCTGTGCTCAGTGATCACTTCTGTGGCTCACACTGAAGGCCAGTGCCTCGCCCCTGTGCTATGGCTCTCTGCGGCCCTAATGCAGATACACCCCGGCTGCTCCTTTCAGGAAAGCACAGCGAGGTTGGTTTCCCGCCTCCCACTTGCCACTCCTCTCCCACGCTCTGGCTCTGCCCTCATGGTCCGGCTTTCCCGCCACTTTTCTCCTGAACGCAGCCTGGCTGCAGGCCTCAGGTATTCTGCTCTCCCTGCAGCAAATGGCCCCAGATTTCTGAGACTCTTCTTTCCCGCCCATGCCGGTCACTCTGGGGGGGGGGGGGTGCATGGTACCTCCTGAACCCTGCTGCGCATCCTCCTGAAATCCTCCCATCAGCTACCCTTTTTCGAGAGGGTGTAGGGGAACTTCTCTGAAGAACACTGTCCCACACCACCCACTCCTTCTTGCTAGGGAGGGAAGAGAAGCATCACATCCAGCCAGGTGGTCCCTTAGTCAGGCAGGGGTGGGAAATCCACTTGACCTATCTCAGTCTCTGTGTCCTCACCTGTTAAATGGGTCAGCAGTAATAACACTTCCCAGTCCATGTGGGCAAGTCACATGTCACAAGAGGCGTGAAGCACTTCCCAGAACAGGCTGGGTAAATAGCTAATTCTGATACATAATCATCCTAATTTTATGATAAAAAAGGTTTTTTTTAATGGGAAAGATTATAATTTTTCAGTATCTGTATTGCAAACAATAATGCCCAAAAGGAGAGAGAGAGACAGACAGACAGAGATAGAGAGAGAATGAGACAGAGAGAAAGAGACAGAGGAGTGCCTAGATAATGGCAGTGGCGGCGAGAGATGCAGGAGGGAAACTGAGGACACTGGTGGTGGGAAATGTACTGGTGGTAGGAGCCCTTTCAGCATTGCCCTCTAAACACATTGAAAAGAAAGGCAAGTGGGGCAGGAGAGGAGGTACAGGGGTTCAGGCCATTCTTTTTGCCTTCCCTGATTCAAATTCCTGGCACCGCATCTGGTCTTCCAGGAGGAAGCCTTGAGTCCTGCCGGGTGTCGCTCCAGCTCACTCCTCAAAGACAGTCATACTCTACAGATATTCTTCCTACTTCCTACTTTTAGAAAGTGTAATTTCAAGATACAGGTTTTTTTTTTATTAGTGAGACACCATGAGGTACAGTTGTAGACTTACAAATTTTGTC